GAGAGAGAGAGAGAGAGAGAGAGAGAGAGAGAGAGAGAGAGAGAGAGGTTGTGTAATGCCTATTTTTGGTATTTCTCTTTCCCTTTCAGGATGTCATTTATAGTCCTGGCTATCTAAAACACTTAAAGCAATGCTTACCTAGGAAGTACATGGAAATGATAGAGAAGAATAAAATGAAGGCAGGCCAGGCAGTGCGGCGCACGCCTTTAATCCCAGCACTTAAGAGGCAGAGGCAGGTGGATTTCTGAGTTCGAGGCCAGCCTGGTCTACAGAGTGAGTTCCAGGACAGCCCGGGTTATAAGAGAAACCCTGTCTCGAAAAACCAATAAATGAATAAAATAAAATAAAATAAAATAAAATAAAATAAAATAAAATAAAATAAAATAAAATGAAGTCAGGCATGCTGACACAAGCTACGGAAGGAAAGGCCTCACCCCAGCCTTGCTTGGGGCCATCCGGGTGGCTCCTTTCCCAAGGACCATGGGGCCAAGCCTCTGAGTTGTTCCTACACCACATCCTTGCCCCTGGGGTCCCACTTCCTTCCTCCTGTACCTCATTCTTTTACATGCGATCCATGCCTCCTTGCTCTTCCAAACATGCCTATATGTCATTGCTGTGATATGTACCTCATATGTGCGAAGTTGAGGAATACCTTCTGCGTGGGCGTGTTCTCTAACCTCACCTAGTTTGCCATGGCAGGTCTTGGATCACCTTTCCAGTTTCTTTCTAGGTGTTTTCAAGTCCCATGCCACAGTCAGCAAGGATTAAGTAGATTCCTAATGTATATCACACAGACACATAAACATTGGCTAAGATATGGCAAGTGCAAAGAGCAAAGCATTGAAAAGTGAAAAGCAGCCCAAGGGGGACTGCCCAAGAATCAATGGGAGTGACTTTAGCTGTGACTCACAGCACTGGGGATAGGGAACTTGAAGAGGCCACCTCTTATAGGAACCCCAGTGGAATGATGGAGACACCAACCCACCCAGAAAACCTTCAACTCAAAATTTATCCTATCTACAAGAAATGCAGGGACAGAGGATGGAGCAGAGACTGAGGGAATGGTCAACCAATAACCAGCCCAATTTGAGACCCATCCCATGGGCAAGCACCAATCCCTGACACTATTAATGGTACTCTGTTATGCTTGCAGACAGGAGTTAGTCATGGCTGTCCTCTGAGAGGCTTCACCCAGCAGCTGACTCAGAGAGATACAGATACCCAAAGTCAAACAGTGGATGGAACTTGGGGACTCTTATGGAAGAATAGCAGGAAGGATTACAGGTCCCATAGTGGATAGGAGCTCCACAGGAAGACCAACAGAGTCAACTAACCTGCATCCCTGAGTCTGAACCAACCAAAACACATACATGGGCTGGACCTAGGCCTCCCCGGACATATGTAGCAAATATGCAGCTTGTTCTTCATGTGGGTCCTGAACAACTGGAGTGGGGGCTATCCCGAAAGCTGTTGCCTGTACATGGGATATGTTCCTCTAGCTAGGCCTTGTTTGGCCTGAGTGGGAGAGGATATGCCTAGCCTCACAGAGACTTGATGTGCCAGGGTAGGGGGCGGTTACCCAGAGAGCCCCCACTGGCTCAGAGGAGGAGAGATGGGATGGGGGATTGTGGGAGGGGGTGACTGGGAGGGGGCAGTGAATGGGATATAAAGTGAACAAAAAAAAAGAGAGAAAAGAAGTAAACATTTCCAGACAAGTAGCTACTTTGAACTCAAGATATAGCATCAAAAGTCCAACCTTCCCTTACTTCTATTCTCTCAGATCACCAATGAAATGGCTGGGTCTACAGTCAGTGCTCCGCAAAGTGAATGAAGTATTGATTGATTTTCTTTTAGCTTGTCACCAGCTCTGCAAATTCTGTTTTATAGCAGGGAGCGATTCTACATCAAACAATGATCGATTTCTTCAAGGAAGTGACTTAGATCCTTAAAGAAAGGCGACCTGGCAGTTTAGATTGCTTTTTCATCTTCTTTCTCCTCTTTCTGTCAGTGTATAAGGGGCTACAGTTGGAGGGATGGCATTCTATTTCTTTTTGCCTCATAAGTTTTGAGGAGATTAGCCATTTTCACTCACATGCCTCTCTGTGTCAGCCACAGCATCACTTTCTCCACAGGGACAGACATACAACAAGGCTCAAACTGAACCCTGAACAGGATGAATGAACCAACATAAAGCTTTTCTGGGACTGCCAACTTGTGACAGGAGGAGCCGGGTGTCAGCTTTCCCTCCAAAACAGCTGCTGGAGAATATTTTTCCTTCCCATGATTCCTTCTCCTTGATCGGAAGGAGCAAGAGGAAGGAAGGAAAGTGAGCATCACATGGCTGACCGGATGTGAAAGTTCCTATGTCTAAGAGAATACGTCAGTCTCTGGAGTACAGAGATACTGAAGAGAGAAGCCTTGATATTTTTCAAGTTTTTCAATGGGTCACGAATTACAGCACCTCACTCATGATTAGCGACTGAATGATAGAATTACTTATTTGTTTGAGTCTGAGGTGCTTCCTGTTTACAGCCATATGAGGCTATCACAGTGTTGCCAACTTAACGAAATATAGGATTACCTGGGAGATGGTCCTCTGTCATGTCTATGAGACATTATCTTGATTATCTTAAGGAGGTGGGAAGGATAGGTCCACTTTAGGTGCATTATTCCTTAGACAGGGGACCTTAGACTGTATAAATTGGAGAAAGCCAGCAAAGCATATGAATGTAAGCACGCATTACACTGCTTCTGACTGCAGACAGGATCTGACCAGCTACTTCAAGCTCTAGCTGCCTTGAAATTTCTGCCACGGTAGACTGAACCTTGAACTGTGAGCTAAAATAAACAACTCGTCTGATAAACAAATAAACAACAACAAAAAAACCCCCAAAAGATAAAAAGCAGTGTGCAGACTGTGGTATAACTTTTTAAAATCTGTTTTTAGATTTATTTTATGCATGTAAGTGTTTTGCTTCCATGTATGTAAGGCATTGGATCCTTTGGAACTGGAAATAGTGGTGATTGTAAACTATCACATGTGTACTGGAACTGAACCCAGGTCCTCTGCAGGAATCAGAGTGCTTTAACTGTAAACAAACAAACCAGGAAGCAGTATGGATTAACAAGAAGCCTCCAGGAGTAACAGTGCTTGCTGCCAGGACCTGAGTTTGATCCCGGGAACCCACGTGGTGGAAAAAGAGAACTGACTCCTGCAAGTTGGCCCCGTTGCCCTCTGACCTCCACATACAAGTCTTGGTATGTTTGTATATACACATTAAACATAGAAATGTAAAAACAACAATAGCAACAACAACAGAAATCCAGGTAGAGTAGCATCATGCACAAACATCTGTCAGATATCCAATAGCTGTCTGGGTAAAGGCACAAGTGGTAAGGTGAATTTAGATGCCAACCTGGACGGTCCACTTTCTACCATCTGTACGGTTCCCAGGAATGAAAAATCCACACGGTGTGCTTACACTTACTCCAACAAGAGTCCTTGAGAAGTTATAACCTTACGTTCAAGTTCAATATTCTCCTTTCCATCCTCCAAGTCTAGCTTGATCCTCCCTGCAAGAACTTTCTGTCAAACACTCTTCCCCGCTCAGTGACTCGCCTGTACCAGATTAGCTCTTACCTTCTTTATCACTACATCCTCTCGTACCACAGGCGCCCCACGGCAGATGTCTTCCCAGCCTACGTATCAGCTTTGCCCTGTTATCTGTGGGCATTTACTTCACTTTTTATGTGTCAGCTTTTAGGGGGCAAGGCTGACTTGGTCACTGTTCATAGGAGAATATCTTGGCTTTGGCAACTCAAAGCTGATACATAGGAACGTGGGAAGATGGCCACAAGGTGTGTGATGCTGCCAGAAAACCACATGCCATTACAGGCTTTTCAAAGATTTTTTAAGAAGAGGGGAAGGTATCAAGGTTTGAGGGTGAGTACTGAAAACATTTGCAATCAAGTCATCCCTACAGATGATTTCTGTGTCACCTCCAACCTGTAGACATTGTCCCCAAGCTTCTCCAGTATCTCCCAACACAGGCGGGTATAGCCTTGCAGTGTCACCCAATTATCAGGTTTTCTCCGCTCTGCTTTTTTGCGTCATGCTAACTATTTGAAGCAGCTGTAAAATCATCACCTCTCCTGTTCTGTCTTCCACCTTAAATTACGAGTAGCCACCTTGACTTAAAAGTATTTACAGGTCATTTGTCCTACATAGCATTCTGTTAAATATTTCATCCTAGTAGTAAGGGTGTTAAAAAGGGGGGGGGAATCACAAAAACAAAACAGTAATAGTCCCTTTGTAGCCAGCATGGTGATTTTATGTTGCTTAGTATAATTTCAAAACCTCTCAAAAACAGAGAAATATGAATTAGCATTGGACACTAAGGCAGATACAAAAGGCTCAGTACACAAAATGCAGTATTCTGTATGCATGAGTTGCGGTCCATTGGTAACCCTCTGACCCAAAGGTTTCGTGAAGCAGTTTTTCTGTCTCACAACATTAAGGACATCATCTGGCAACTTCTTTAAGCTACAGTCAGTTTACATTACATGCTGCTCAAATCTGTACACATTGTTAAAGCAGAACGACAGCAACAAAGTCTACAAAGGCATCTTTTTATGCAGATAAAGTGTCTCCACAGATCTCTGATGTGAACAGGAAAGAAGGTTCTGAAGAAGAAATTACTTACGTCAAGAGAGCCTTCGTTTATCACGATCATCCCCATGTTCCTCTTCAGAAGTCTACAGGAGTGTCCTGGGGACACACAATCAGTATAATGATTAGTTTTGGTCTGGAAGGAAACAAATCCGGTAAGGCAATGACATGAACAAAAACCTAAAGAGGGTTTTACGGAGAGGGAAGGGTTTCAGTTCGTTTCCGGACTAATAGAAAGTTTAAAATGAAATGTTCTTGATGGCCATTAGGACAGGTGGGTGGTAAGGCCATCATTTGATGCTGTCTGGATAAACAATATAGAACAATTGTGTTTAGCATCTCTATGTCCAGAAAGCTGCCAAGCTTATGTGCAATATTCCTCGAGAGTAATGGCGGGCCAGTGGATTTGCAGAGAAGGGTTCAGGAGGGTGGGTGACTCTTAGAGCTACTTGCTCCCACCATCTCCCTGTCCTGGATGGTCATGGCATCCTTCTCTTGCCTTCTTTCTCTTACTCTGCTGTATTCCCCCCATGATAAAGCCATTGCTGTGTTAAATCCATGCCTGTCTAGTTTATGTTGGCTTCGTATAGTTGATACAGCTGATGGAGCCCAGGTTACCCTGGCGGACTCCTCTCACAGTAACAAAGATTACAATGGCGGTGTTTACCCTCGGTGCCTCTGTAATCTCAGGGTCTGGCTCAGCCACCCTCAGGGAAATCTCCTCCTGTGGCAGCTGGAAACAAATATAGGGACCCAAATATGCAGACAATGAGAGATCTAGGAACACTTGGCCCTAAATGGGATGTCACCATCAAGTCCCTGCCCTCAGGGCTCAGGAAACCTTGAGGAAGAGCAGGCAAAGAAAGTGTGTGAGCCAGAGGGGATGGAGGACATCAAAGACTCAAGGCCTTCTGAATCAACAGGGTCTACTTGCATATGAACTCCCTGCATAGGTCTGCACCACATAGGGTGGGTCCTAGAGCTAAAAGATGGAGTGGACACAAGTCCTCATTCCTTCCCAGAAGCTAGCTCCAATTGGTAACTGCCTGTAAAGGAAAATTTAGTTTTCTTCAAGGGAGTCTCAGTGGGGAAGTGAAGTACTCTTAAGGATAGGCTGCGTGCCCAGCAGTAGAGCCAACAGAAAAGGAACTCGATAGCATCGCTGGAGGCTCCTTGTCTCGTAATGTCATGTCAGAGCCTTAAACAGTTTTTTACATTATTATTTTATTTATGCATTTCCTCTCTTTTTATCCTACAGATCCTTTGTATATATATATGTTATGGTTTCCAGTTTAGTGTTTTTATGGACCTTCTGAGTGTATGAATGAATGGCACTCTGTGTCTATGTCATTTTCTTATACCTTTCTTGAGCTGAAAAGAGCTTTTATTTGTCTATTCTGATGTGTTAGTTTTTGTTTTATCTTATCGTATATTTTATGATTATTCCTTAGAAGCTTGTTTGTTTTCTAGTGAGAGACAGAGAAGGGGGTGGATTCAGATGGGAGGGAGATGGGGAAAAACAGGGAGGAATAGAGAGGAAACCATAATCAGGATACATTAAGAGAGAAAAATTCTCTTTTCAAAAAAGAAAAAAAAAAAGGAAGCCAGCCACCTCTCACCGTTATTATTGGTCTAAACCGTCATCACATCTCACCCCTGCCCCCTCCTCCAGAGCAATGTGGCATTGTCCCCCATTGGCTACTCTGCTTCTATGCTGCTTTCCAGGATGATGTCAATCTAGGACTCAGAAACTGTCCACAGGAAACTCATGTCTTTCCCTGTAGCCTTCACGTCTACCAAGAGCAATCCAGAGGCGTTTCAAGGCCTGGCACTCCCACCCTGTCTGGCTCCTCTGAGCTCACCTCAGCATCACTGCTGTCTCTGTAACAGACAACTGTTGTCCTGTCACCTATAGCAAATTCTTCCTTCTCTTCCAGGTCTTTCCTCAAATGTCACTTTCTACATGAGTTCTTCCTGATTTTCCTCTATGTAAAGTTCTATCTCCTCTCATTTGATGTGTGTGTGTGTGTGTGTGTGTGTGTGTGTGTGTATGTGTGCATATGCATGTATCTACATGCATATAGAGGGCAGAGGCCAAATATGAGTGCCATTTCTCAAGTGCGATCTATCTTTTTTTTTTAATGGAGTCTCTCACTGGTTTAGAGCTCACCCAGTAGGCCAGGCTGGCTGGCCTGAGTCTATGTCTGCCTACCTATCACTGAGATTACAAGCATGTACCATTACAGCTAGCTGTTTTACATGGGTTCTTACTGGGCAAGCACTGACCAACCAAGTCAACTCCCCAGATCCTTGACATTATTTTTCTTTTTTAAAAAAGATAGTAATCTTTATTCTCTAAAATGCTCTGCAATTTTCTAACTTCCTTGTCTGTTTCTCTGACCTCAGCTCGAATGACCCCTACTGTTTCTTTGCCCCCTACTGTTTCTTGCACTTAATTGGAACCTAGTACTACAGACATGATAGCCATTGGCTGGGTGAACAAACCCTCTCTACCATTTGCTGGGAACAATCACAGGCAAATAGCTTAACAGTTTGTTACTTTTGTAAGAAAGATGTATGAAACCAGAAATCATTATGTTAAGCAAAAATAAGCCAGATTCAGAAAAACAAATACTGCAGTTTTTCTCTTCTATGTGGAAGGAGAGAGAGAGAGAGAGAGAGAGAGAGAGAGAGAGAGAGAGAGAGAGAGAGTCACACAAGTAGAGAGAGGCTATGAGAAGGGAGGAAATAATCTTGGGAAAGAGGGAAAGAGAGTAACAGACCCTTGTGATAAGAAAGTAGAACAGACATACTGTCTGGGGGAAGGAGGAGAACCAGTCACAGGGGCCAGAGGCACAAGAGGGGGGCAGTAGAACAGTTGAGAACAAAGGAAAATTTGCAAATATGAGAAGCCATAACAAAAGCGATTACTTCTGAGCTAATCCATAACTTGTGGCTTCATGGTGTTTTGTATGTAATGGCACGATCAGTTTATAGAAGGGACCATCCACAGTCACAGAACCTGGAAAAAGGGTTCTTCCTTTTCTATACTAGTATTACAGGTTTTAAATAGCAAATACGTTCTTCTTTGCCAGACTTGCATTACAAATCACATTGTATATCTGCCTTCCTCAGATTTATATGCTGAAGCCTCGACTCTCCCCAGTGTGACTGCTATGGACCCAATACTCAGGCATTCCCTCAAATGTCCTATTTTTACTTTCCAAGAATGGGATAGATAATTTTCTGTTGTTTAAGCCATCTAGTCTTTGATACTCTGCTATAGCAGCTTGAGAGGTCTAATACAAACACTTTATAGAAAATTGGGACTGACTGGAGGATGAGAGCAAACTGAGAGTCATATATGTTTGACCCACCTCGGGCCACAGCAAGAAGAGCTAGCACATTAATGGGCCATTGGCCCAGTTTGTAGGCTTTCAAAGATACCTGCAGAAACATTACATATACCTGCCATTACGAATGGAATGTTCAGACAGTAAGATGAAACGTTTGAGAGTGTATGTGTGGTTCCAGGAGCCAGGTTGGCTGTATGTAAAACCACTGCAGCTTTAAAGGGGGCATTGGGGCCAACAACTTGGTGAGCCTAATAACCTTACACATTTACAGTTTTGAAATATCAGATCTTAAAATATCTTGTTGTGGATGAGGAGAGGGTTGTCTCCTCTCGAATCCTCTCTGATCCCAAGTACAGCAGAGATCTCAGCTCTTGTGTTCCAGAAGAATTCACACTGGGGGACAGGTGTGGTAAGCAAGGTGTCAGGTTTATTTCAGCAGGTGAGAAAGCAGAAGTGGAGAGAGTAAGTTCCTTCCCCAGATGGGTGGCTCAGCGGAGTGACAGAGGTGCAGGGACACCACTAATCCCTAGACATACAGACCATCTTGCCGTCTAAGTTCTCAGTGCTGTGATAGACACCATAACCAAAGGCAACTTGTGGAGAAGAGTTCTTTCAGTTCTCCACCACAGCCTATCATCTAAGCAAGGCAGGGCAGGACCCAGAGGCTGGAATGGAAGCAGCAGCTCTGGAGGAATGCTGCTCACAGCCCTTCTCCCCATGGCTTGCTCAGTCTGCTCTCTTATGTCATTTAGGACCATAGGCCCCAGTGACAGACAGCACCTCCAGGAGGCTAGACCCTCCCACATCATTCATCAAGAAAATGCCCCACAGACTTGTCTGCAGGCAAGCTGAGGGAAGGGATGAATTTTCTCAACCAAGGATCCTCTGCCCAGATAACTCTAGCTTGTGTCAAGCTGACAGGAAATTAGCCAGGACACCACACTTGGGACAGTCTGGGATAATCTCCTTCTGGAATAGGAAGGTGCTTTTTTAGAAATTATTCTTTTCCACAATTCAGTCTGTTAGGATTAAGAATAAGATTATGTATTAATCACTAGATATAAGATTATGTGTAAGGTCGAGAAGTTCACTAGGGGAAAGGTCAGTGATATTATGTACCTACTCCAGGTTGGAGGGTGGGGCTCCTTGTGAGAGGTTCAGAGCCCACAGAGTCTGGCTTTGTGGTTTTTCCTACAGCTCAGTCCCTCCTCTTGAATCTTTTCAGATTAACTATCTCATGCTAGAACGAAAGCCCTTGTCATCAGCATCCCCAGTTTCACGGTTTGTTTGTTGGGTCGTTTTTGTTTGTATTTTAAAACACATCTTATAATTCATCTTGTTAAAACACATCGGCCTGTTGGAAGGTATCAGGATTCAAAATTTGAGTGGGGTTACTTACCGATATTAATGGCAGTTTCTTGCTTGTCCCCAGTAAGGATCCATATTTTGATGTCAGCCTTCATTAGAGTTTCTATGGTTTCAGGCACTTGGTCCTGCAATTTATCCTCAATGGCTGTAGCTCCAAGTAGCTGAAGATTCTGGGAAAAAAAAAGTGGTGAAAATTTGAAGGGGGGAAAACTACTTTACTGGATAAGAACAAAAGTTGAAGTATTTTTTTTTTTTTAAATCAGAGACAAAAGTAATTCATGGACTTGGGCATAAATCCCAAACATCCTGCTGTTTTCTTTCTTAAGGAACCTTGACTTTAATCCAGTTGTTCTGGCTGAGAATGAGACTCCCTGAAGCAATTTTACCTTGACTCTTTCTAAAGTAAGAGTCTAATTCATAAAATAAAAACAAACCCAAAATCTCTGTGTCTGTCTGTCTGTCTCTAACACGCGCACACATACATATACACACACATACACACACACACACACACACACACACACACACACACACACACACACA